CCACAGGGTCCTGCTCGGTTTCATTACTCCTTTTTACTTACATAAACCATGAGTCAATCCATTCTCTTTAAACACTTAAAACATTACAGATATGATTTAAGCCTCCAGGCTGCTTTCTCCTTCAGGCCTTTTCTCTTCACTTACATACGTTTTACGCTCCCCTACCCCCGAGAAAACATAGACCTGTGATGACACTTTACACAGTGACACCGCTCCGGCTGTTCACCCTGCAGTGTCCCTGGCACATCTGTATCCGCACGTAGAGAGCTACACGCTACGTAATCTCTATGGTGGGAGTCCTGGCACTGAGGTCCTGATTTTATTCCCTCTTCACTGGAATTGCTTCCTGGTTTCCCCCACTGAGCATCCTCTCGGCTGCCTTCTCAGGATCCGCCTCCCTTCTTCCTGGAGCTCAATCAGATCTCGTTCAGTCTGCTGTTGCTGCCAGCCTCCTCCCACGTCCCCTCCCTTCCCTCGCAGCCTCCTTTCGCCCAAGGCCACCCAGGACCCTGAGCTGAGAGTGAGCTCTGTCCTCCGACTACCTGACCACCCATCCTTCCCTTGGGCCCTTGACCCACTTATGCCGGGGACTTTCCAGATGTGCATGTGCATATATGTGTTGTGTGTGTGAAGTATGTGTGTATGTGTGTACACGTACATGTGTGTGTGTGCACACACACATGTGATCTCCCTGCTTAGTGTGGTCTCACTGCCCACACTGCCCACTGCCCAATGCGGGTCCACCCACCCAAGGAGTAGAATTCAGCCCTTGTTGAACTTTAAAAAGAACCTACTAAAAATAATTATTAATTAATTAATTAATTAAAAAGAACATACTGGTTACCAAAGGGGAGAAGGAGAGGGGGAGGGACAAATTGGAAGGTTAGGATTAACAGATACAAACAACTGTACATAAGACAGGTAAGCAGCAAGGATTTACTGTGTAGCATAGGGAATTATACTCAATATCTTGTAATGACCTATATGGAATATGGAAAGAAAAAAAAAGACGCAAAAACCCCAAAAAACGAATCACTAGGCTATACACTTGAAACTAACACAATATTGTAAACCAGCTATACTTCAATTTACAAAAAAGAACCTACCCGTTCACCTTGTGTCCTCATCGCCACACTCCCACCGCATGGAGTTTCTGTGACAGTTGTGAAGCCACCTGACAGCGCAGGCAGATGCTAGTGGAGCCCCTGGACCGCAGCGCGGGGAGGGCACCGCCTTCAGCCGGCTCCTCAGCCAAGTTCCAGTGGTCACCAGCAGGTGGCAGCAGCAGCCCAACATCTCCGTTTCCTTCTGGTTCATCTGGGTCTCCAGATGTCTGTAGCTCGCTGTCTATCCACGTTTAAGGTTGAGATCAACAAAAGCTTGCTGGGGTGGGGGGGACTTGGCCACAAAGATGACGATAAAGTGACAACATTTTCAGAGCACTTGCAATGTGCCACGCTGCTCTCCACACTTCACACATACTAACTCTTGGTCTCACAACAGCCCTAAGTATGTCCAATTAATATACCCATTTCATGTATGAGGAAACCAAGGCACAGGAAGTAAAATAATTTCTGCAGGTTGGAAGCTAGTAAGTGGATCTGCTGGCTTCCCAACTCAGGCCGTCCAGCCTCAAAGCCCTCCCCCTTGACAGTTCTTTCTAGGGATGGGGTTTGCTTTGGGATGGGCAGCCAGCATGATGCTGAGAGACCCACAAAATGGCAGAATGCAAAATTTCTTTTCTGGGAACATCACTTTTTAAGAGGAAACCCCTCACGCCTGTTGCCACTATAGATGAAGGAAGATCCCCAGCTGCCCCACAGTGTGAGCAGCAGGGTGGGGGGGAGGGGGGTGTCTCTTGCTCCATTCACAGACTTCAAGGAGGCCCCTATTTTCACTTTCATGTCCCATTCTGGGCCATTTCCAAGTCCAAGGGCAAGTGGGTCCCTCCTGGTTTCAGTCCCCTCCCTCCCCTCTGCCCACTTCTTTGTCAGTCACAACTCTGCCTTTGACTCATTCATTCATTCATTCATTCAGTATTTGTTGAGCACCTGCTATGTGCCAGGCACTATGCTAGGCTCTGAGACCGAGTAGTGGATAAAACAGACAAAATCCCTGTGCTAGTGGGACAGACAGTAAATATGATAAGCAAGTAAAAGACATATGTTAAAAGCACAATAAATGTTATGGAAGGGGCTTCCCTGGTGGCGCAGTGGTTGAGAGTCCGCCTGCCGATGCAGGGGACACGGGTTCGTGCCCCGGTCCGGGAAGATCCCACATGCCACGGAGCGGCTGGGCCCGTGAGCCATGGCCTCTGAGCCTGCACGTCCGGAGCCTGTGCTCCGCAACGGGAGAGGCCACAACAGTGAGAGGCCCGCGTACCGCGAAAATAAATAAATAAATAAAATAGATTAAAAAATGTTATGGAAAATAATAAAACTAGGTCTGTGGGGTGCTGCAGTTTTGAGTAAGGAGACTAGGGTCGGTCCCACTGCGAAGGTGACATTTGAGCAAAGACTTGACTCTGCTTGTCTTCCATTCATGTGTTGATGATTCTTGACTGCAGGTGACCCCCTGTCCCATCCCCTTCATTGTGGAGAGTTTATACGCCTTTCTCCTTTGTTCTTGGTGTCATGATCTCCCCGGAGGGGAAGTACACACGCTCACTCTGCCATCACCCACGGAAGGCCCATTCTGGGTTTTGTTTTTGTTTTTTTTCAGCCGTGCAGTGCGGCATATGAGATCTTAGTTCCCTGACCAGGGATCAAGCCTGCACCCACTGCAGTGGAAGCATGGAGTCTTAACCACTGGACCGCCAGGGAAGTCCCCTGTTCTGGGTTTTGATGGTGCATCTGGAGGGACCACAGTTGGGGTGGGCTGTGACGGGCTATCCTGCATGCAATGCCGGCAGCGGCCCAGGCAAACCGAGTCCCCAGATGGGTGGGAGGAGGGGGGAAGAGGCTCTCCCTCCAACAAGGGGCCAAAAAGGAGCCGAGGATGCAGAGTGGAGAGCAGGACTCCGGGTGACTGGGCGAGTCACTGCCCCTCTGGGCCTCTGTTTCCCCAGCAGTAAAATGAAGGGCCGGGTCCAATTTGCACCCTCTCCCTTCTTCCCAGAGTAGATGGTCCGGGACACCCAGAGAGCATCCGACGCTGAGACTTTGCAGTAACTGATGGGGAAATGTCTGGAAGCTAGAGTTCTTGGGTTCTTTAAATCCTAGCACAGGGCAATGTCAGCTTCAGGGTATTTCTCTGGGAAGGAGACTGGAGAAGGGCTGGGACCACAGCACTTTCCTCATCTGACCCAGAGGCCAGCTGAAGGTGATGGCAGAGAAGCACATACACATTTAATGTCCCTGTTCTCATCCTCCCTTTTCATCCCCAGAGTCAGCAGAGAGGCTGACTCCTGCCCCACATTACAAAAGAGGAAACTGAGGTTCAGAGACAGCGAGCGACTTGCCCAAGGTCATTCATGATACACGACGGAGCCTGGTCCTCAGGTCCCTTTGAATGTGCTCCTTCCTTGGGATGGGAGGACAATCCTCACTGCAGGGATGAGATGAGAATACTGTCTACTACAAGTGACAAACCCATCTCAAACATGCTGAAGCAAAAAAAGGAACCTTACAGCTCATTGATTCAGTCAGGATAGGCTGGGTTATGCCGTGGAAACAATCAGCCCCCAAATCCTAGCAGGTTAGAATAAAAGATTTCTTTCTTGCTCACAATACGTGTCCATCACAGGTGAACTAGAAGTTCTGCTCCACATCTCCCCACTCGAGGCCCCAGGCTGAGGGAGAAGCCACCATCTCACACATCACTGGTCACCGTGGCACAGAGGAGCACTCTGAAGGGCATCACGACGGTCAGTTCAATGCTCTGGTCCAGAGGTGAGACTTACCACTTCTGCTCACCACTCATTGGCCAATCCTGGTCATGTGGTACCATCTGACCACAAGACGGGGCAGAAGGCCGAGAGCTGGACATACTTGGTGAACAGTATGACTTCCATACTCGGGTACCTCGAAAGTCCAGGGGGAATGTAGTTTCAGGCATGGCTGGACCCAGGAGCTTAAGAGGATATTACCAGGAGTATACGCCCACTTCCCAGCTCTGCTTTCCAGTGTGTTGGCCTCATATTAGGTGAGCTGTTTCTTCCTGGTGCCCCCCCGCCTCCCCAGTCCCACCACCCAGCAGCTCCAGGCTCAGTCTAGCCCTGCAGCTGAGCAGTCCCAGCAGGAAAAGCGTACGGACCAGCTTGGTCACATGTCTGAGCCTGAACTGGCCCTGAGGCCGGGAGGATAGAATACTCTCTTGGCCAGGCCTGGGTCACTCCCAGAGCTGGGGTCAGCCACCCCAACGATGCTGTGAGGGCAGAAGCACGGGCACCCACAGGTGTTTGCTGAGAGTTTCTTCGCCCCTGACCTAGGTGCCTTCCAGCAGAGCAAGGTGAGGACAGCTGGACCTGGGATCAGGAGCCCAGAGCCCAAGTTCTGACTCTGACATTTAATTGTGTGTGACCTCAGGCAAGTCAGCAGCCCCTTCTGCACCTTCATTTGTCAGATGGATACCCTGCCCCTGGGAGCCTGCAGATGGAAAAGGGCTAGGTCAGGAACAGAATGTGGCATCCTCCTGCCTCTGAAGACAGGGTCATTAGCAATTCTGGCCTGGACTCTGGGTGACAGGGAACTGCCTTCCCCACCCCCATGTGTTCAGGGCTCAGTCACACCTCCAGGCCTTCGCTCAAGCTCTTCCCTCTGCCTGAGTAGCTGGTGTCCCTAACAACTCCTATTCATTTTTCAAAGCCCAACAAACACCACCTCCTCCCTGAAGCCCCCCAGGGCCTTCCTGCTGCCTGTCTGGGCTCCAACCCGTGGTGTGCCGGGTCTGCCTCATACCAGCTAGGAGAATTGATTGTAAACATCTCTTCCAACCCCATGTTTAAAGCCATCAAGTTGGTAGCTTGAAATTGACTGTGGTAAAAGTGTTCACACCATGGAAATAAGCAAACACTGCAAATCAGGCTTTACTGAGGGCCCACTAGGTGCCTGACGGGGGGTAAAGCCGTGAACAAAAGAGGCAAAGTTGTTGCCTTCATGGAGCTTAGGTTTGATATTTCATCCTTGTCTCTAGCAACTGTTTATCTCCATCCATTTATCCAACTGCTCTTCCTTCAAGCATTTCACCATGCTTTTATCCATCCATCCACCCACCAATGTGCCCACTTGTCCATAAATCATCCATCCACCCCGTCCTACTAATCTGGCCTCCCAGGTGGGCCAGTTCCTGTCTCCGTCTGCACCCACATTTATGAGCTGGGTCCCCTTCAAAGACAGAGCTGGTGAGTAGCCACGTCTGGCCCAGGCCAGAGCCCCATCCCCCCGACCCCCGGCCTGGCATCAGCCAGTGTCCGAGGTGTCCCCTCCCCCTACTCCCTGGCCCAGAGCTGTGTGTGCTCGAGAGAGAGCTGAGCTGCTTCCACGGGGAGCCTGGGGCTCATGGGGTGCCTGGAACCTGTGGCCTCCTTGAGGGTGTGAAAACCACGGCACACCTTGACCCAAGCGTCTCCAGGGTGACGGAGGGGGATGGTGAGGGCTGCTCACACCTGCAGGAGCTGCGGTTTCACACTTGAGCTCCCATCCGAGCCTCACGCCTTGATCCCAGGTTAACAGTCCCACTATCAAGACCACCAATGTTCTAGAACTTTCAGAACCAAAGAATCCTGTGTTCTCTCAGTGACTTCTTCCAACATCTCCTTTTACAAAAGAGTCACAGAGAAACCATCAGCAGGGTCGACAGCTGAGCCCTCGTCCAAAAGCAGAGACAAGCCAGGGCTTCAGGCATCACCTGGCATGCAGCCTGGCCTTTGGGGAGGACCACAGGCCAGGCAGGTCCAGGCCAGGGTAGGGATTCCCCTCAGGGCTCTGAGAGCCCGCGGCTGAATCAGACTCTGCTCCTTTAACCCTGCTTCCCGGCCTTGGAAACGCAGCCTCTGAAGGTGAGCACCCTTAGGAGGAAAATGATCTCTTCTCTTTCTTTCTTTCTTTTTTTTTTTAAGTATGAGTTGTATGCAATACGCAGCACCAATATCGAGCTCCTGTCCAGAGCTGACGTTCAATAAGGTGCCTTCAAAACGTCACAAACAAGTATTTTCTTAGCATCTTAAATTCACATTTCAGCAGTTTCTCTGACAAATCATCAAAAAGAACTTGACTTCCTCCAATTCCCCAGGACAAGCAAGGAAGATGCCAGGGGATCAGGACCACCGTGCCATTGCTGCCGAGTCCGGCCTGCGGCCCTCCCCAGTGTGAGTGCCAAGGGGAGCGTCCTCTCGCTGTATCCCAGCACCCGCATGTACTCAGTAAATGTGCTCAATAAATATTTCTGGGGTGCATAAAGGGAACAACAAAATGGGCAGCAGGAGGCAGAAAAAGAAATCTTGGCTGGTGAGGGGCTGATTCTAAGAAACTAAGCTGATTTTAAACCTGGAATCCCCCAAGTGCCCCTCCGCAGGTACCTGGGCTGTGTCTGGTTTCTCACTCCCACCCACCTCCAGCACAAGCCTTGGTCCTGGCCGCAGAAGGAAGGAAGCTGACGTTTTTTGAGAGTCTGGGCTGCACCCTGTACATGGGCGACCTCTCCAATTTCTCCCCAGGGTAGGTCAGGCCGCCCCCATTATTAAGACAGGAAACTCCAGCCCAGAGAGGGGAAGTGACTCACCCAAGGTGGCACAGCCAGGAGGTGTCAGAGTCAGGATTCAGACCCAGGTCCACTGGCTCCCCCCAAAATCTTCCCACCCCCAGGGTCACTGTGGGCTCGCTTGGTCCCCTTCCCCTCCCCCTGAAAGGCGATAAGGAACAGTCTGGACTTTGTGCGGCTCTGCAGGCAGGACCTGGGGGGCTGGGCTTGGTGTCTGTCCCAGGCAGTGCCCTGGTCTCGGCACGTGACCCGGGGGTCACCCACGTGCCTCGGAGGGAGGGAGGCTGTCATCACGTGCCCACAGACACACGTGCGGCTCACACACGCGCACGCAGGAAGCTCACGTGCGCAGGAAGCTCACGTCGGCACAGACACACGAGTGGCCTTGGGAATATGGCAGAACCACAGGCGAGCTCCGTGTCCACAGGCACGCACGCTACTCCCACGCGCAGCCACGCCAGTGGGCACCTGAGCCCCAGACATGCACTGTAAACACGAGGCTCAGGGGTCCCAGCCGGGAGACCAAGGGCTGCAGGCCTCGTTACACCTCAGCCCAGGTGACCCTGTCCGTGGCTCGTGGCTCAGTGGCATGGCCAGCTCTGGACGGCCAGTCGGCCTCACTAGCTGGCCTGGGGCCCAGGCCCTGCAGGTGGAGGGGCCATGACCACCCACTGGCGGAGGTAGCTCCTGGGGGGCCCTTCGTCCCTGGGGCTACTGAAGTCATGCTCCACGGGGCTGCCGCAGTCAGAGTCCACAAAGCCGCTGTCAAACGTGTCCATGTCCAGGCCAGCTGGGGGTGAACCTGCCTCGCTGTCCGACACCCCTCGGGGCGACCCGCCATCCCAGGGTGGCCCGGGGGCCCAACCCTCCTCATCCTTGAGGTGCAGCTTTATCCTGCCAAGGAGGCTGCCCAGGGGGTCCCCTGGCCCGGCAGGGCCACTGGCTGAGACGCAGCCACAGGATAGGACTGTGGCCCCCATGCCCGGAAGCGAGTCCTCCGTGCCCGGGCCAGGCTCCAGGCCGGTGTCCAGGTTCAGGGCTGGGTAGCCGTCATCCCCGCAGGTGCAAGGCCAGGTGCACAGCCCTTCTGCGTCCACCACGGTCACCGTGTCGATGGATACCAGGCCGTACGGCCGGTCCCTCTCCTGGCTGTGAGCTGAGCTGCCCAAGCTGCCGGCGGTGGAGTGGGCTGGGCCCCAGGAGCCCGGCTCAAGCACCCCGTCGGCTTCCACCAGGTCTGGGGGCTCTGGCAGCTCTGTGGGCACCAGCCCCTTGGCTGCAGTCTGCGGTAGGCACTGGCTGTGCATCTCCAGGGACAAGGGCACCCCTGGGCTCCAGGATCTCAGTTCCAGGCTGGAAGCAGTGAAGGGGGTGCCCACCCATTTCTGCGAGAGAGAAAAGGAGGGAGAGTCATGGATGGGATGGGGGACAAGGGGTGGCGGGGGAGCATATCAACAGACAGACACAGAGACAAGACAGACAGCAAGAGAGAAAGAGACAAAGACTCCAGAAGATAAAGAGAGAGATGGGGGTGGGGGGAGTTGAGCACCGTGCTGTGTCCCTATCCAGGGACAGTCCCTGTCGCCGTCCCGGCCTCCCTGGGCCTCAGTCTCCCTGCCTGTAGCAGGGAGCTACGGCCCTCAGCAGCCTGCAGGCACAGACAATCTGCTGCTCGGTGGCCTGGGGTCTGTATGGGTGCGGGTCCAAGATTCCCAAGCTGTGGGGACGAGGGGAGGGAGGCCCTGAGAACTGAGTGACAGAGCCTTCACCAGGCCTTCTGTTTTATGTCCTCGGGGAGATTTCTCGAAACCACGCATTCTTCTGTTTGTGTCCTCACTAGAGTGGACACATGACCAGGGAAGAAGCCCCACTTCTTCTGGTCACGGCTGTGTCCCCAGAGGCTCACACAGTGCCTGGCACCCAGTAAGCACCCAAGAAATGTATATTAACTAAATGAATGAATGGAGTGAATCAAGGACCAGCCACTCAGAATAGATAAGGGCTGTGGGGTGACAATGGACTGAGGCAGCTGTCCCTAAACTTTAAGGATCCCCCTGCCCTCACCTGCCAGGGGTCCCACTCATGACACAGGGTCTCCATCCAGTTGGCAGAGAAAATCCCTGAGAACCAAAATCTCCCAGTTTTGAGCCTACTCCATCAGAAAACTCCTCTCAGAACCCTGCTGAGGCCACTACCACTGATTTGAAGTCACTTCTCAGCTGTGTGGCCTTGAGCCAGTTACTTACCCTCTCTGTGCCTCAGTTTCTGCATCTGTAAAATGGGCCCGCTAATAGTCCCCACTCCACAGGGTGGTTGTGGGGATTAAATGATAAATTAAATAATATCTGTGGCGCTCCTAGCAGAGTGCCTGGTGCACAGCAAGTGCTGTAAGAGTATTGGTAAAACAAACACAAAATAGATGTGATATTTGAGCTTCAGGGAAAGTGCAGAGGAAAGAGGAAAGGGTTTATCCAATGTGGGCTGCAGCCTAGGCTCCTCCCCTGCCAGGCTCTGAGCCTCAGTCTCCTCGTGGTTCCCCTGGGATGGTGGAGCACACCCTCCCCACTTGCAGGGGCTGCTAAGAGGATGAAAGGGTGGAGGTGAGACAGCGCTCAGTGAGTGCCAGGCAGATGGCATGTCGCACTTCCTGACTTCCAGACTCTGCTGGAGCAGATGGGTTACCACATCCTCTCTGCGGTGACTGCCGCCACCAGGTGGGGGGTGGTAAATAGGCACAGAGAACCCAAGGGCGATGGCGCTGGTAGCGGGGGTTGGGGCCTGGATGGGGCTGGTGTATCTTGCAGGCAGGGCCATATCCTTCCCAGAAGCTGCTCCCTCCCCACCTCCATAGCAAGGGCTTCTACCAAAGGACCAGGAGGCCACTTCGTGGCTCAAGGGACCACCTGGCTCACCCTCTCTCCCAGTTTGGCTCCTTGGGCTGGGAAATGCTGCAGGATCTTGTTTAATTCTTATGCCAACTCTGCCCCACTGGAATTATTTCCTGCACTTTGCATGTGCAGAGACTGAAGCCTGGTTCCAGCCCGGGTTGGGGATCTGGGTGCCCCGGGCCTACAGGGTGGGGCTGGTGGTCTAGATGTGTGGGTGGAAGCAAGCTCCCAGAGTGTGAGAGGCTCCCAGGGGCTCATCATGTGGTGGGGACACTCACCTTGAAGTCTCCACTGTGGCCCACGTACAGGGGCTGGAAGAAGGGCTCTGGGCTGGGCACCTGCACCCACACATTTTTCCATAGCCTGGAGGGCAGAGACGAGGTGAGCCCCCCGCACCTCCCAGAGGGCAGCCGGGCCTCCCGCTCAGAGGCTCCCCAAATGTGTCCTGCGGGAGGCTCAGAGCCTCCAAGACACACCCAGGCCCCTCCCTTCCGCCCCTCTGCCCCAGGCCTCAGTGTTCACATCTGTAAAATGGGGCAGCGAGTCTCCTGAAGGTGCTCCAAGTTTAAGGGCTTGGCTGCCTGTTCTCTGCTAAGCCAGTGCTGGCCCCTGAGCCGTGACTTCCTCCTCCACCACCAGGGATGAGCCAACAGCCAATTCCATGGGGCTGTAGGGAGGGGTCAGGAAGTGTAGGCACAGCGCCAGGCACCCCAGCACCCAGAGACTGGTCTGCAACACCCTCTGTGATTCGCAGGCTTCTCTGCCTGGAACAGGGTATGCAGGGCCCCCGCCCAGTGTCTGCCACTTAGCAAGGGCTCAGCCCCAGCCAGCAGCATGCACGAAGGCCAGGGGAGCTCAGGTTTTATCAATGTTTTTAATCAGCATCAGCCCTTCTCTGGATGGCCACGTTCAGCAGAAACCCAATACATAAAGAGATAAAAGCAAAACCTCTGGTGCTGAAGCAGGATTGTCAGGGGGGTTATTCCACCAGCCCTTAACCCCCACCTGGCGGCCCCTCCTGACCCTCAGGACTCAAAGCTTAGAATTCACTGGACAAGATCACAGCTGAGGTCACTGTTACGAGCACAGGTCGAAATTCCTTCTCCTCCACTTCACTGCTGTGTGACTTTGGGCAAGTTCCTAGACAGCTCTGTGCCTCAGTTTCCCCATTTGCCAAATGGAAGTAAATGCCGTGTATCAAGCTCATCTGGCTGCTGTGAGGGTTAAGCATGTGCTCCACACAGTGCCCAGTTTAGTATCACCATCACTGTCATTACTATTGTCATGGTGACAGGTGTGTCCTCCAGTCCCGGCCCAGGCTGAGCCCCTCCCTGCCACCCTGTTCCCTGGCCTCACCTCCAAGCCTGATGGATCTTCGGGCCTAAGATGACAAGGATGAGGCATACGAGGACCAAGATGGGAAGCAGTTGAGGGTACAAGTCTCCCTTTATCTCTGGGAAGGAAGAAAACACTGGGTGAATTTGACCAACCTCTACGAGAGGCCACCTGGGCTGGGTGTGGAGGGCACTGGGTCTGGGCTGGAGTGGAAGTGGGTGGGAAGGCTGCTGGTGCCTCGCGGTGGGATGGACCTGGCTTCAACTCCTGCTCCCACCCCCACCCTAGGCAAGTGATTTCATCTCTCTGAACCTCAGTTTTCTCATCTGCAAAATGGCGATAATAATTCCCACTTCACAGATACGTTAGGAGGATCAAAGGCCCCGCCAGGAGAGGCACCTGGCACCCAATGCAGGGCCTGGCAAGCAGGGGCCCCAGAAATGCTGTGGAACAGCTACAAGGGGATGCATGACTGAGTGGGAACCTTCCAGCCGTGCTGAAAATCTCAGGGCTCAGGGCTGCTGCACTAGGACAAGATTTAGTACAAGGAGTGGGTGTCCATCCCTGCTTCACATCTTACCTTCTGGCTGGGTGTGAAAGACGACTGGGTCACTCCACTCGCTCCAGGTCCCCTGGAAGGAGGAGCGAGGCTGGGGCCCTGCCCGCACCTGCAGCTCGTAGCTTGAGCCTTTGTGGAACTCCAAGGGCAGGAGAGAGACGCTTCTCGAATCCACTGAGATCAGCTTTCTCCCTGGACTCTGCCAACCCAGGGAAAGGATGCGCTGGGTTAGGACCGCCCAGGCCAGCCCCCGCCTCCAGCAGAACCACCCTTTACCAGCCCCCAGGAAAGGGGTGGAGTTTCTCCTGGCAAGTCTCCACCCCCTCCACAAGAGTCAGTCTGAGCTCTGGCCACTCCGGTGTGGGCAGCACAGAGCCGTGGGCGCTGCCCTGGCCTTGCCTGTGATACAGTGCTTTGGTCGCTTTCTCTCTGAGCCCAGCTCAGTCACTCACAGCCCCACAGAGGACCCTGCCTGCTGGGCCTGGGAATGTCCCGGGAACAGCAGTGGCCATTCCTGGGCATGTTTAGCTGGCAGCATTCCGGACTTCGGACACTTCTGTAATTCTTCAACAGTGGCTACTTTCAACAGTGGGCATTTCTGGGCGTCTTTAACGACAGGCGTCTTAGCAATGGGTACCTCTGGAAGTCTTCCACTGGGGATGGTCTAAACTATGGTATTTATGAAAATCTTAAACTGGGACCATTCTAAAGGATGGATAATTCTAGAACACTTCAGCTGTGACTGTTCTAAATAGTGGGCCATTCTGGAACTCTCCAACACTCTAAACAAAGAATGCCTCTAGAAGCCTTCACCCCGCCCCAATCCTCTGAGGGTCTCACCAGAGCCCAGGGGTCTCCGAGCTTCCTGTACCGCAGCTCATACTGAAGTTTGCCCTTCAGCGCGTACAAATTGTAATCGGAGCTCCAGGAGATGTTATAATGTCCGGAGAAGGTCACCGTCACATTGAAAGGGGGAGATGGCTTGACTTAGAGGAAAAAGCCAGAAAGATAAAATGGGATGAGATTTTGCAGCAGCTGAGAATGATGCTCTCCTTGATGAGATCAAGACTAATGACCCTGAATGACTTGGGGTAAAGCATCCCCTGTCTCTGGGCCTTAGTTTACTCATCTGAGAAATTTAGATGAGTCTAAAGTGGGGGTGCTATGACTCAGGGGGGCAAGAATGCAGACTGGCGTAGCTGGGGGCCGGGGAGCGGGGGGACACCAACGACACCCACTCATTCTCCATTTCTTTTCTAAATGATGGCATCATTTTCTTTTTATGTGGGCCTCTCACTGTTGTGGCCTCTCCCAACTGTGGAGCACAGACTCCGGACGCGCAGGCTCAGTGGCCATGGCTCACGGGCCCAGCCGCTCCGCGGCATGTGGGATCCTCCCGGACCGGGGCAGAAACCCGTGTCCCCTGCATCGGCAGGGGGACTCTCAACCACTGCGCCACCAGGGAAGCCCGAATCACTTTCTTTTAACTCTAGCTTCCTTGAGAAGTCAAAAGACTGTAATTAGCATCATGCTAATTAATTAGCACCAATTATGCTAATGATGGAAGTTACCACCTCTGAGTGCCTGCCGGGCTGCTCTACAGCGAGCATTTTGACGCCTGCAGGGGCCCTGAGAATTTGATGTGACTGTTGTCATCTCCCAGACATCTTCTGGAAAGTGCGGGAGCAGAGATCTGGGCCACAACACCACGCCCTCCTGGGCTCTGTGATCCGGCTTGCCATATGCCCCTGTCTTGGGGATCTTAGCTCCTTGGGACAGAGGTTTTGTTCTCCAGGTCAGTGCTGTGTCCGCAGCTCCTAGGACAGAGCCAGCACACAGCAGGCCCTCAAGAGATACTTGTTAAACCAACAAATGAACCTTCCAGGGATTCCAAAAAGGAACTCTGAGGCTACGGACGACTCAGCACCAAGGCCTGCGATGTTCAGGAGGCTGCGGCGAGGGCTTTATTGTCATTGCTATTTCAGCCATAGGTCCTTTGGGACTGGAATAACTGCTAAGCCCTCTCCTATTTTCCCCAGGCCGACGGAGACCTGGTTTTCCACTTCCCTGGACGTCCTGGGCTGGGTGGTGAGGACCAGAGCTGGGGATCAGGGATGGGGTCAAGGATGGGGGCCCAGAGCCCAGGAGGGGGAAGGGAGTAGAACACTGCCCCCTAGCTTCAGGCCCTGGCAGGGAGGGGGAGAGGGAGGGCGCCAGAGAGAAATGGGACTTGGAGCCGCCCTGCGAGGTGGAGGGGCCGTGGAGCAGTTCCTTCTCCTCCGCAGGGGCAGGGGGAGGCTTGCAGTCTGCCCTGCTCACTCAGAGGGGCAAGGGGCCGCCCCTGCTCCCACGCCTGGATCTGCATGGCTGAGTGAGCGTGTGCGTATGTGTGCATATGGGCGTGTGTGAGAGAGCGTGGGCCTGTGTCCAGGCTGGCTAGGCCCAGGGCTGCTGGGACACCCGTGCATTTGTCCAAGGGTGGATTTATGAGTGTGCGTGTGAGAGACTCTGGGTGTGTCTGCGTGTGTGTGAACCTTCATTCACACCTTGTGCAGTGCGACACCCACTCAGCGAAGTGGTGCAAACCTGGACCCCCTCCAGGTGACAGACACCCTCTCACCCCCCTGCCCCACCACTGGGAACCTAGGGCCAAAATCCCCCAGAGATTCCTCGCAGAGGCTGGGCCTTCCTGAGGAGGGCAGGACTCTCTTAGCAGTTTGCATTTGCATGCCTCTGAGCACAGGCTTCTCACCCCCTCTGTGGAAATCCCACTTTGGGGACACACACACACACACACACACACACACACACACACACACACACTAAAAGCTGCCTCCTGGACCGGCCCTGGGTCTGGACCCACAGAGACAACTTCTTCCACCAGCCAGCACCGCCCCTCCACCCCGCCCCCAGCCTGGAGGGAAATTCCAGGCCTCACCGGAGCTAACGAATGGGAGAAAACTCAGGGAAGTTTTTCTCTTGAGACTCAGTGTCCCCACTTGCCTCATAATGTAGACAGAATCCCTAAGAGTCAGGGTTAAAAGGGCCCTCACTCTACAAATAGGGAACTGGTCCAAGTTCACAGATAGGCAGGGCTGAACCAGAACTGAAGGCCGAGATCCTGGGTCCCAGTCCAGCTCCTTTTCATACCGCGGCTGCCTCTCTTTGGTTAAAGCTCAAACCTAGTTATCAACCCGTCACACCTTAGTAAATATCGGTGCACCTACAGAGCAGAACTCTAAGGGGAGGTAAGGACATAGGACAGGTCAGCTATGATGGTGGGGGAAGGGGAGCCGTCTCAGGGACCATGTGTCCTCCTCAGCTCTGGGGTCCAAGGGATACTCACTGCTTTTAGCCAGGACAAAGCTGCCGCACTCCTGGGAGTGGTTGCCCAAATGGTCTGTCATGTTGACACTGAAAACGTCGTCAGCCATGTATTGGAACACATCCATATGGCACGTGTACTCTGCATGCGTGGCATTGTGGGTGGACCAGCAGAGGCTGCAGGAGGTGACCTCGTCCTCCAGTTCTCCATATGAGTCTTGCCTTCAAGGACAGAGCAGCTGGTTATGGCTGGAAGCCAGCGGGGCTCAGGGCACAGGGCCAGGACCCCAGCCCAGAATCTTGGGGCTGGGAGGGAGTTGAAGTGGTGCCGGGGGTCACCTGGTCGAATTACCCCTTTCCCCGGGAAGATACTCCTCCCCTGAAGTAGCCCTGATGGATGGTGTCCAGGCTCGGCTTGTATGCCTCCAAGGGACCAGGAACTCACTACCTCATTTAAGGACAGCAGCTTTTAACTTTGGAAATTTGGGCCATTCTTGCCTGGACTGAGCCTAAATCTGTCCCTGTCAGTTCCATCAACTGTATCACTGTCTTACAGAAAGGGTGCTAAGCATTTCAGTTCTCCTTCCTGACCTCCTCTGTCCAACATCTGCTGAATACCTAATAAGTGCTTGTGCTCAGGGCCAAGATAAGAGCCAAATGAACTTCATCCCCTGCTTTGGGTGAACTACCAGGGAGGCTATTGGTATAAGGTTGGGGGAAAATGCTCTGGCTTTTTAACTGCCAGTGGGCAGAAACAGTGGGTTTTGAAGTATGTATAGGAGTTCACCAGATATTTATTTCCCTACCTACATCTTCAGGCTGTGAACATGACCACACTTGAAGGCTAATATGGATGTGTGGACTCTGTTATTTGCTAAATATTTGCTGGAATAGAAACTTCTGCTGAATAAAGTCTCTCTAAACCTCTTGCACAGCAGCTAGGAGAATCTTTAAAAACTGCCTGTCACCCCATGCCTAAAACCCTCGGGTGGCTTCTCATCACCCACACAATAAAAGCTGGCCCTGGGCTTCCCTGGTGGCGCAGTGGTTGAGAGTCTGCCTGCTGATGCAGGGGACGCAGGTTCGTGCCCTGGTCTGGGAAGATCCCACATGCCGTGGAGCGGCTGGGCCCGTGAGCCATGGCCGCTGAGCCTGCGCATCCGGAGCCTGTGCTCCTCAACGGGAGAGGCCACAACAGTGAGAGGCCCGCGTACCGGTGGGGGGGAAAAAAAAAAGCTGGGCCTTGCTTACCTCTCATCTCCTTTGCTTGTTGTTCTCTCTCACACTGGCTCACTCTGCTCTGGCCCCACTGACCTCCTCGCTATTCCTCAGACTCATTAGTCTCTCCCTACCTCAGGACCTTTACACTTGCAGTGCCCTCTGCCTGCACTGCCCTTTCCCCAGCTCACTGGCTGCCTCCTTCTCACCCAGAAAGGCCTGCCCCGACCCTCCTGGCTAAAGCAGACCTTCTCCCCATGTCACTCGCTTTCCACCCAAGGCTCAAGGTTCCTGGACTTTAAAGCACTCATTATTCTCAGGAAGCATCCTGTTGGTTGTTTATGTTTTTCTTGTCTGTCTCCCCAGCCACTCCCCACCTGCAGTAAGTCAGCTCCGGCACCAGCTGGGACCTTGTCTGTCTTAGGCTCTACTGGGCCCCCAGTGCCTGCAAGTGTCTGGCAAGAGCTTAATAAATATGTTCTGAAGAAGTAACTGAATGAACGAATGGATTGGTGATGACAGAATGAAAGCCAGCTGTTCTTTATCCTGATCAGCACGTTGACAAAGACTCTCCTTGACCAGGCTCAATGCAGGCTCCTCAGAACTCTCTCCTCAACGAGGCCCTGACTTTGGGACTCCCAAGCTTGTCTCTGCATTGTCTAATGTTAGCAAGAATCCTGCTAAGTCATTTTAGCCAGAATCTTCCATCCTTGATATCTGATCGAATTCCTCATCCTCCACCACCCCCAGGTGATATAGGCTCACCCTGGGCTTCCATTAGCAAGAATCCTGTTAAGTCAGTTTAGCTGGAACCCCCGCTTACCCCTGATGTTTCCTCTTAGTATTTTTCCATCCATTGACCTGCTCCTTAGCTATAAATTCCTAATTTTCCTTGTTGTATTCGAGTTGAGCCCAAGCTCTCTTCCCCACACCAAAACCCCACGCAGCGGTCCCTACACCCATCATGATGGTCTTTTTTTTTCTTTTTTTAAAGAATCCCTTATATATTCTTTTTTTTTTTAATAAATTTATTTACTTATTTATTTTTGGCTGCGTTGGGTCTTCGTTTCTGCGCCCGGGCTTTCTCTAGTTGTGGTGAGGGGGCTCTCTTCATTGCGGTGTGCAGGCTTCTCATCGCAGTGGCTTCTCTTGTTGCGGAGCACAGGCTCTAGGTGCGTAGGCTTCAGTAGTTGTGGCACGTGGGCTCAGTAGTTGTGGCTCACGGGCTCTAGAGCGCAGGCTCAGTAATTGTTGCGCACGGGCTTCGTTGCTCCATGGCATGTGGGATTTTCCCGGACCAACGCTCGAAACTGTGTCCCCTGCATTGGCAGGCGGATTCCTAACCACTGAGCCACCAGGGAAGCCCGATCATTACGGTCTTGAATAAAGTCTGCCTTACCATTCTTTAACAAGTGCAATGAAAAAGTTTTCTTTAACAATAGGGACCCATGAATCTTGGAGTCAGACTGCCTGTGTTTGAATCTCGGCTCCACCATTCACTGGCTGTGTGACCTTGGGCAAACTGCATAACCTCTCTGAACCCTAGTGTCCTCGTTTTTTAAATGGGAGTAATAATTGTGAGGATGGGAAGTGATGGTTCATGTGAAGTGTAGCAGGATGCCGGGCATGTATTCAGTGTTCAAAAAAATCATGTGGCAGTCTGGTCATCCTGGGGTCTCAAAACCACAGTCTGGCCTGTGTGGGCAAGAGAGTACGGTCTTTGGAGCCCTGCTCGCTGGACAAGTCTCGTGAGTCCTGCATGGACATCTGTAAGGTAGGCACAGTGATTCCCAGCTCCCAGTCCCAGATCACGGTCAGTGATTCTCAGCTCATGGTGAAACCAAAAGCTGTTGGTGGAAGGGCTGAGAGAGCCCCCAGAAGTAGCAGGCATTATTTTTATTGCTAAACTACCTGCCAGGCACACAGTAGGTCCAACTCCGTCTGTGGCCTCTGGCAGTCCTGCCCCACCCCAGCCCTCCAGGCTACCCTGAATCGCATCCCCGAGGCTGGCGAGGTCTGGCCACTTACCAGGTGAGGGTGAGCGTGCCAGGGTGCGGGGCCCATGTCTTCAGGATGCAGGTGACCGTCTGGATGTAATCGGTGTAGCAGACGAGGTCTGAGCAGCCCCAGGCTGGAGGGTCAAGGGACACAGAGACCTTGGTTGGGGTGAGGGCTGGTCGGGGTCAGCAGAGCTGATCACCCCCTCACCCCCTTGAGGGCTGGAGGATGACGGGAAGCAGGGGTCCCAGAGCCAGGATGAATATGATGACCCTAGGGCCACTAAGATTAAGGCCTGGAGCAAGGGGGTCCTTGCCACCTAAGAATTCTATTTTTGAGCCCCCAAAGTTGCGAGGTTGGCTATGGAGACAAGACTCTCCTAACGGGAAACATCATAAACTAAGCGGGTCCCCACCCAGCGCCCTCCCCACAAGCCCTGTGTCCAGACACCAGGTCAGCATCCCTCCTGGCCGGCCTCCCTCTCAAGGTGGTGTGTCCTGAACTCCCCAGTTGCTGGGGGAATCTGCACATCCTGCGAGAGGGATTCGTGTGGTCAGTGAGAGACACATGCTCCCTCTGTTCCCCGCAGCTGGTCCAAGACAGGACATGGACCTCGGTGACCTGGCAGTGCTTCGAGGGAGCAAGAAACCTTCAGAAAACTGAGAAGCCCTTGGATACTTTTGCCAAGATGTCTGTATTATCCTACTGCCCAAACCATCACCACCACCACCAACCAAGTGATACAGGTATGGTCCCCCTCAGGCAATTTTATTGCAAGATTTAATACTCTCCCAACTCCATCGTTAATTGCTTTACTTTGTTCTAAAAATGTTTGACAAAATCCAGTTAATAAGTTTTAGTTTAGTTTTGTTTTGTAAGATCAAGTGCCAACGCTGCTATTCCCCCTGCCTCCACCCCCCACTATTTACCAGAAATTTGTTCCCCTTTTAAATGGATTCATTCTTAGTGGCTTTTTCCTATTTTTCCTTGACTAATGAAGACCCAGGGGTTAGCAGTACATTCCTCCTGGGTCTCCATCTAGGTCAGAAGCTGGATTTGTAGTCAAGAACACTGTCACTGGAAACGTCCTTTATGTCTCCTCCCATCACATTTAACAAATGAGAAAACTGAAGCTCTGAGACTGGGCTACACCTCTTGTCTCGCTCTTGGTCTGGGCTCAGGAGACCCAGGAAAGGCAAAATCTAATCTGTGCTAGTTCTTCACCTCCACACACATGGCGGACACCGCTAATCGATCATGGCCCTCACTCCCTTGGGTGTGGCCTCAGACTCCTTCTCAACACAGTTGAGCGGCTCCAGACAGCCACTACCAAGGGATCTGAGATGTGGAAAGGAACCCTGTTGGAGGAGGAAGTCTCCCTCGGGGAGGAGCACGGGGCCTGTCGGTGGACACAGAGCGGCCCGTTCAGATACTTTGCGGAGAAAAGAGGACTGATTTTGGTAGGACCAAAACCCAGGTGGCTGTGTCCTCTCTGAGTTCATCATATCCTAGTCGTTCTCTTTCAGGGCTCCAGAACTTGGAGAGGAGCTGCCTTTCCTACGTAGACTCAAGGCCACCAAGGGACAGGGTTTGTCCCGAACTTGTAATGAAACATTGGAGAGGGGACAGTAGTCCCTGAACTAGTGTGGACGTGGCATCAGGGACCAGAGGGAGTAAAAACCCTGTCACCGGTCACTACCCTGAGCCCTGCGCAGAGAGCCCCCGGGCCACCCCCACCCCGCCCAGGGCTATCACAGTGTGTGGGAGGCAGTGGGAGCCGTGAAAAGTGCACACGTGACTCGCAAGCGCTCTGAGTCGCTATTTGTAAGCTGGAGACACTGGCCCCTCGGACGGGGTGGGGAGGTATTTAGATGATATCACGCCAGGGCAGCCCAGGCGGCCTGCGTGTGGCACTCACCCAATAAAAGCAGTTAAGACCACGGGAATCAGGCAGATTTGGGAACCCGTCCCAGCTCTGCCACTGCCCGGCTGTGTGGCCGTGGACCCGCCTCTCACCCTCTCTGAGCCTCACAGGCTGTCGGCAGAAGGGAATGAGGATGCTCGGCCCCCGGGACACAGCAGGGGCTTGTTATTTGTGCTCACGGGGTGGGGAGAGGCAGCGGGTGACCCAAAGGCCCTTTAGAGGCTAGGACAGGATTCTGACCGCTCAGAAAGGGAAAATAAAGGAGACTGACATCTGTTTCCTGATGGAGCTATTTGAGGCTTTGGGTCTTTCGGTAAAAACCGGCGTGAAATGCTTATGAGTCAGCACAGCGGCGGCTGAGGGCACCCCTGTCCCCAGGCCAGCTCCCATTCGAGCCTGTGTGCTGTGTCCCACCTCCTCTGGGAAGGCTTCCTGGATCTCTCAGCCCTGACTGCGCCCCCAAGTCTAACACCTGGCCTTTCCCTGCTCGGGTCTCGAACATCTCTCCCTCTGACTGCAACATCTCCTGCTCCTCCGGGGCTTCCTTCTAAGGCTTTGGCTGCTTTTGTCTCCACAGCCACTCTCCCCACCCAGGGAATATGTGTGCTGGCAGTGGATCCAGTGATTGTTGAGAAACATCTCCTAGGAGATGAGGAGAAACTGTGGTTAGATCACAGGCAGGACTTCCTCACGCTGAGAACTGGGAGCCAGCCAAGGCAGAGAGAAGAAGGATGAAGTCCCTCATCCTCCCGCCCCGCTTCCCTGGCCAGCGAGACGTGGAGACCGGGACTCACTTCTGGACAGTGGAGCTCTCTGGTGGGATGGGCTCTAGCTAATGCAGAGATGGCTACTGGACTTGCGCCGGCCGCAAGTGGACAGATGCCACAGACTCTGACCCTGTGGCCTCTACCCTGCCCTGGAGCCCACAAGGCCAGCCCGGCCGCTCTCCACCCACATACCACGGGGCAACTACTTACCCCCCTGGAGCATCAGCAGGAGCAGAGGGGCAGCCCAGCCGCAGAGCATGCTGCCCGCCGGAGCCTGGAAGAGACACACAGGGAGAGGGTGGGCCTGGGGCCTGGGGACCAAGGGGCCCTGAACATCCTCTGGTCCCCATCCCTCCTTTGGAAGACTTGCCTCAGTTTCTTGGATTTGCTTCTGAGAAACAAGAGTTTGAGGAGCCCGTGGCTTCCCCCAAGGATTCCTGTCCCTTAGAAGTGGCTTCTTTGCCCCCTGGATCCCTACCCGCTTCTCCCCGCTTCTGCCTGGGCCCCCAGCACCATCACAAATGAGGAGGATGAAAAGGGGGAAGAGCTCGCTGCTGGTCCCCCCCTGCTAAGCCTGTTGATGTAGCACGACGTGTGCACGTTTATCCATCTAGATAAGAAAGAGGGAGGCAGGGAGGGGAAAGGGGCTTGGCGGGCAGAGATCTTGCGTCCTCTTTCTTACAAAACCCCCATGTTGATGTTAGCCCAATTAATTGGCTTCTTAATGAGTAGCAAATCCAAGATTAGCCCACAAAGGAGACAGTTCCTGCATACCTAAGATAAGTTTAGCCCAATAGCGAGGGTTCCTACCCAAATACAGAGCTCCCCCGGGTTAGCCCACCAGCAAGCATGGGGGAACCCAGCTTGACCATACGAAGGTGCCCTGGACACCCTGATCTGCATGAGATGAAGAAGAGACCTCTTTGGAGACCAGAGCCAGCCTGTCCAGGAAGAGCGGACTTTGGTACCTTGGGCAGAAGAACAACCCACCAGGCTGGCAATGCCAGGCTCTTGCTGGTACTTTGTCCATTGCACCCCCAGCTCTGTGTCTACTTGGGGAGGTACCAGCCAGAAGCCAGTGGGTCCCAAGAACCCTACCTAGATAGATCCCATGGACAGGTGTGTAGCTGGAACAGGAGCTCAGAGGGCTGACCCGTGCAGGGACCAGGTCACACACATGGCTTCTTCCGGACACCATCCCTGAACCCGGCTTCCCCCAGAGCCTACTCTGGCCCCGCTGGGAGCTTCCTCTGAGCTCCCAAACAGGTCACCAGGCAGGCAGTGGTGCAGGGCACGGACAGGTTCAGCTGTGTGGCTCTCGGCTGGTCACTTCCCCTCCCTGAGCCTTAGAAGGAAAGACGGTAAAGCCTGCTTCCAGGATTCTGGTGAGGATTCAAAGCCTCCATTTATAGAATCACTGGGCCCCTGGCATAGCCCCTGGCACACAAACACTCAAGAAACAGTGATGGATACAGGCTTTTAAAGCATCAGAATGGACGGACTCCCTGAGTGATCTACCCAAGAGGTCCCCAAATGTCTCATTTTCCAAAAGTTGGCCATATTTGTAGATCATGTGTACTATTATTTATTTAATATATTTTCTATAAACAGACCCTATTAAAAATTTAACTCCAACTTCAACCTAAGCAATAATGCACATAGTTGTGTATTTTTTCCCCATAGCTGTGTATCATTCCCCAGTCAATGATTGTAAAGCATTTGAAACAGTGCCTGGCATATAGCAGATGTTATATAAGTGTTTCTTAAACAAAGCAATCAACTTACCATAAAACAAAATGCAGTGAAATGTAAAAACTAAATACAAGGAAAACAAAAGACAGTAATTGAATTTTAGTGAGATACTATTCCCTGCTTAAGACTCTGATGGGGCTTCCCTGGTGGCTCAGTGGTTAAGAATCCGCCTGCCAATGCAGGGGACACTGGTTCGAGCCCTGGTTCCGGAAGATCCAACGTGCTGCGGAGCAACTAAGCCCGTGTGCCACAACTACTGAGCCCGCATGCCACAACTACTGAAGCCCGTGCGCCTAGAGCCTGTGCTCCGCAACAAGAGAAGCCACTGCAATGAGAAGCCCGCGCACCGCAACGAAGAGTAGCCCCCCCTCGCCACAACTAGAGAAAGCCCGCACACAGCAACGAAGACCCAATGCAGCCAAAAATAAATAAATAAATTTATTTTTTAAAAAAAAGACTCTGATGAGTTGGAGATCTAGTTTGCCTTTGTTTAAAAAGGGAGATTAAAGAGTATTAGAGAGGTGTTGAAGACATACTAGCATCAAGCTGAGATTCTCACCCACTCCCTCATCAGAGGATAGAAAGAAATTTGAAAAAGGTCTCACTCTCTCACTAGGGGGTCCAGGGATATTTAACACCATCTTAAACAAGCCACTCAATTCTGGGAAACATCAGCCTTGAATGATGACGTCTTCTCCTGTTTCCACAGCACCAAGTAGGAACACCTCCCGGTCCCACTACCCTCCCTGCCCTGAATCCACCCCTTATGGGGCTTCCCACTCAGCTGACTCCTGAGGGCAATAGCAATTTACTCCCCACATGCACCCAGACCAGCAGGTGTGCTTCCTGAGTGAAGGACAGAGGGTGCCTTGCAGCCTCCTACAGAGCAGTGAAGAACACCTGGCTTGGAGTCTGCCAGGTGCCAGCTGTGTGACCTTGGGCAAGTTCCTGACCTCTCTGATTCTCTGTTTTCTTATCTTTGTTGTAGGCACTAAATGCATTATTGCATGTGAAGCATTCCAGCGCAGTCCTGGATGGGATGGAGCCCTAAATTGGTGCTTATCCACCAGGCTCCAGTGCCTAGAAATGATTTCTGAGGTTGTGGTCCTTCAGACTAAAAGTTGGCCAAATTTCAGGAGAGTCTGGGGATGTGGAGAAGATTGGGGGGAGGAAGTCAAACGGAAGCAGGTACTATGGAGAATACAAAGTGCTTAACTTCACAGTCAACAGAGAAATGCAAATGAAAACCACAATAACATGCCATTTAAATTTTATCAGATTAGTAAAAACTAAAGATCTGACAACATCACATGTTGCTGAGGACACAACGTAATGGGAACTCTCATTTACAGCTAGTGGAGATGTAAATTAATACAATTAGTCTGGAAAATAGTTTGGCATGGTCTAATAAACTTGAACAAGTGTTTACCCTAAGACCCAGCAATTCCACTGTGAGGTACACTACCAAGGAAACACTGGCACGTGTGTACAAGAAGCATAGGCAGAAATGTTTATAGTGGCATTGATTTTAATATTGAAAAACTGGAAACAACCTAAATATACATAAGCAAGAGAATGGAACGATAAACTATGGTGTAATCACTCAATGTGAAAATGAATCATAGCTTCACACAACAAAGCAAATGACTCTTACAGAAAAGCAACAACAACAACCAAAAAACCAACCAAAAAACCCACGAAGCAAATGACTCTTTCTGAAGCAAAAGAAAGATTAGAAAAGAACACAGGCATAATAACACCATCTGTGTAACACTTAACACCATGTAAAGCAGCTCTATATATTGTTTGGGTGAATATACATGTGTCCTGAATATAAAGAGAAATCCAAGGGAATGAAAAACATCAAATCCTGAATAGCGTAGATAAGGAGGGGATGTGATGAAGTGAGGGTCTCCAGGGGTCTCAACAGTTTGGTAAAACTGAGTGAAGCTACCATGGGTGTTGATTATGTTTTTCTTTATACCTTTTTGTATGTTCAAACTATTTCATAACATTTTAAACGTAAGTGAATCTTGGATTTATAAAATAAAATGTGGCCACTTCTGGCCATGATGGAGCTGGTATCTGAGTAACCCTCTTACTAAGAACAACTACAAGAGGAGAAAAAAAACCCACTAGAAAGCATGAGAAAGCAACCAAGTTAGATAGTACTTGAGAGGCCAGGGTGCCAGAGAGAAGGAAAATGTGTTGAAATTCTGCATGCAATGTCCCCTCAAATAATTTGCCAAGTCACTGCAGATGAGTTACATTCCAGGAAACCTAGCAGAAAGCATCTGGTAACAGGCTAAAACGCTAAGAAGAGATTTTGTCAGTTTCACAATGCTAAGGAAAGAATCAGAGTCTAAGAAAAATGGGCCCTGATAAATACCCAGTTATTCAGGAAAGGCTATGTCTTGGGAATAAGAAAAATCAGAAATAGTTCAATCTTCACTGCATCAAGATGATCTGCCTACATGCCATATGTCTACTAGAAAAAAAAATTAAAACCTATCTGGAAAAACTTAGCTTAATCTAAAGCCTCCATACTTCCCATACACAATGTCCAGCATTGAATTAAATTGATAAGACAAACTAGAAAACAGTACCAAATGACCAAAAGCCAAGAAGATACAACCAAAGCAAAACCAGAAACAGACCCATAAGTGATTCAGAAAATGGCCTTATGAGATAGGATTTAAAATAACTATGATCAGTATGTTCAAGAATTCCACCAGAAATATGGCATCTGTTTAAAAGTAGAAACTCTAGAGCTGAAAAATGCAAGAATTGAAATTTATAAGAACTTAATAGATGGATAAAGGAACAGATTAGAAAATCAGAAGATAGGATTGGTGAACTGAAAGATTGGTAGAAAATGAAGATTGAAGCACGCAGAGAAAAAATGTTTAAAAATACAGAAAAGAGCAAAAGAGACACATGAGACCTTGTGAAAAGGTCTAACATAAATGTATTTGGAGTCAAGAAAAAGAGGAGAGAGGATAACTCAGAAGCAATAATAGAGATACTGGTTAAGAATTTTTCAAAACTAACAAGAAACCTTAAGCTACAGATTCTAGTTCTACAACCACCCCTCCCCCGCCACCCTAAAACAAATACAAAGAAAACCACATCTAGGCACATCATAGAAAAACTGTTTTAAAAATTAAAGACAAAGATATACTTAAAATCCAACTTAGAATGTTATATCCAGCAAAAATATCATCAGAAAAAGTAGGGACGCTCAATACGATAAAGGAATCTACTAAAATCCCACAGTTGATATCATACTTAATGATGAAAAATTGAAAGCTTTCCCTCTAAGATCAGAAACAAGACAAGGATGTCCACTCTCATGACTTTTAATAAACAAGGATGTCCACTCTCATTGTACTGAACGCCTTGGTTCTAGCCAAGGCAATTAGGCAAGAAAAAGAAATAAAAGGCATCCAGAATGGAAAGAAAGAAGTGAAGTATTTCTGTTTGCAGATGATATGCTCTTGTATATACAGCATCCTAAAGAAT